GTCAAAGATGAGGCAGGTGATTTAATAAGTAGAAATCTACAAATGAAAAATTATTTCCAATTAAAGCTCATTGCTAATATACATGCCTGCACTTGGAAGGGGACGTTGTGGTTTTCAACTTCATGTTTGCCACAGACATGATTGAAATAAATAGAAACTGAAAAGTTAAAAGTAAATACATTTTTTAAATATGTAGGTAAATATCAAAGAAAGTATGTAGTTATTTCAGAAATAGAAAATAGTTGTAAGGGGCAAGATTTACAGATGGAATCCTAACATTTTCATGAAAGATGCTTGTGTAATTCCAAGCCTTAATATACCTAAAAGCATTGTTTCAAAACACATAAATAAGATTAAAAAAGGAAATCCCAACAGTGATATTAGTATGTTTCTCCAAATACTGATGGTTTAAGAACACAAAGACATTACTATGAACAAAAGGAACTGAACCCCTGATGTCCTCGACCTTATTAACTACACGGAAAACTACGTGACAAGACAGATACCTTGTCAATTTCACGTTGACCATGTGTAAGGACCAAATGCACATTGAGCCAGGAAACAAACCTCAGCAAAATGTTGCTTGGTTGTGATCCTATAAGCTAGATTCTTTAGCCACAAACAAAAACCTTTCTGTGCCTCAGTGGCATTCATAAATAAGGGCAAAAAAACTTCCCAAGTTAATCTATATATTTGATGATCTTACAGTAAAATTTGCAATCCCAATCCCAAAAGGTAGGCTAGTGAAAGAGACTAGAGAGCCACACCCATATGGAACCTTATAATAGGAAAGAGATGACATCAAGTTGAGTTAGCAAATGAGATTTTCACATGAAGGATCAGGCAGTGTTATTCATGTGGAATCATGGAAGAATGAGAAGATTCTCCACCCCATGTAGGGCTACAAAACCAATCACAGATGTATCAAGACCTTACAACTTCTAGAAGCAAATATTAATAAATATCTTTGTATGTTTGAAGACTGATGAACTTTTGAAAAGATGTAACAGGGAAACAATTGATAAGTGTGGTGGTCTGAATAAGAACGGTTCCATAGGCTCATATATTTGAATGGTTAGTCCTCAGTTTGTAAACTGCTTGGGAAGGATGAGGAGGAGTAGCCTTATTGTAGAGAAATGTTACTGGGGGCGGAATGGAGGCTTTAAAAGTTCAGCACAATCCAAGTTAGCTTTCTGTAAGATGCTCATGAATCAACATGCAATCTTTCAGCTACTGCTCCAGTGCCATTCCTGCATATTCGCTGCCATGCATGCCCCTTATAATGATGGTCATGGACTCCAAAACTTTGCAACTGTAAGACTGTAGTATAAGTTGCCTTGCTCCTGGTGTCTTAGCACAGCAATAGAAAACTAACTAAGACAATAAGTTTCCAATTAAGAGTTCCTTTCTATTTCATTACAGAGCAGAAAAGGAAAGCCACACATTTGAGAGGGGAGTTTTAAAACATATAAGTCAATAAAGGATTAGTAACCAAGAGAATCACTACATGTCTCTAAGCAAAAGACAAACAACCCAATGGGAAAATAACCAAAAGATACAAAAGCACATTTCAGTGTGAAAAATAAGTGATTACTGAATGCATAAATATATGCTCAACCGGTTATCTCAGTCAGGGAAGGACAAATTGCAGGTTTACAGCATTTAGGGATACAAATGACTCCATCATGGTTGTTTTCAAGCTTCCAACCTCCATCACTGAACACAGCATTGACAAGAGACAAGTTCTCATGAGCCAGTGCCTATGGGTCCCAGCATACCATTATGTTAGTCATTAGTAACTAGGGGAATTCAAATTAAACTATACTGGCATGGCGATTATTATACCAACCAGATGGATAAAAATTCAAAAAGAATGCCAAGGATCAGCAAGGGGCAAATGGTAATTCTAATCCATTCTTCATGGGAATACAAATTAGTTAAAAATACTTTCAGTCACAATTAGACATTTACTTATAAAGTTTAACATACAATTATTATTCAACCTGGCAATACTACTTCTTGTAGCTAACAGTTACATATATCGAGAAAGTTATTTGTATTAGAAATGTTCTCAGGAACATGATTCACAGTAGAATAATACAGAACAATAAGTAGAATAATACAGAACAATAAGACTGCTCATCAAATACAGAATGGATAGCTGAATGGTGGTAATTCACACAATGAAGAATAAAGATGGAAAAAGATACCAACTAGCTACATAACAACCCGGTAAAGCAGACAAAACTAAACAAAGAGGGGTAGATATGCAAGTAGTAAAACTATCAAGTAAATGGTAGACACTAAATCCAAGAAAGTAGGGAACTCTGAGGGTAAGGGTAGTGGATGAAATCTGGAGTGGGGTATTGTGGTCCTTCACAAATATTAGTAATGCTTTATTTTATTTTCTAAAAGTTACCTGTTTTTATTCATGTTTTATGTATGCATGTAGAGTGTACATATGGGTGTGGATGTCCATGGAGGTCAGAAAGGACACCAGGTCCCCTATAGCTTGAGTTAGGAGTTGTGAACTACTCCACCTGGATGGTAGGAACAGGTCTTGGGTCTTCTGCAAGAGCAGCAAGTACTCTTAACTACTGAGGTCTCTCTCCAGACATAACAATTACTTCTTATGCTTCAGATGCACATCAAAAGCCCAAATACAAATTAGAAAACGTATTGATAATTTAAGGGGAAATTATAGTAATAAATGAAAGCATCATTACAGAGAGAATCTATGTCTAAAAAATAAATATTTAGGAGCTGTAGAGATAACTCAGTTGGTAAAGTGCTTGTTGTACCCTTGATGACCCAAGTTCTATTCCCAGCACATATGTAAAGCCAGGTGAAGTTGCACACATTTGTCATCCCATCTCTGGAGAGGCGATCAGACCCGAGGATCTCTGGTGCTGCAGGTCCCAGGAAGAATCTCTGTAAACACTCCTCTCCCCCCACTCAAAATATATGGATAGCTCTCTAGGAAAGATACCTGACGTTGACTTTTGGCCTCACTCACACATACCTCTCAATATGCACCCCCATCATATGCAAAATAGGTAAATAGAGATAATTAAACAGTTGAATCTTTATTCTGTAGTACCTAGTCAACAGATCCTTAAGCAATGCCACACACAGCTGAAAAAGGTACTTTTCCCAGACTGGCATCAAAATTGGAAAATGCTGAACATTGAGAAACTTATGTTTAATATTTCTCAGAAAAGAAGGAAAACATTGATCAGAGAGGTAGTTTAGGCTCTTATTAAAAGAGATGTCATGAGACCCCACAAAAAGCTACAAAGAGGGAGAACATAAATTAATGATGTTACCAGGCAACTTAGGACCAAAATATTTCTCACTGGAGAAGAGAGGATGCAATAACCTAAACTTTATACAACAGAACCCCACACCGGGAGTTGGAGAGACTGTTCAAGGGGTAATGGTGCTTGCTGCATGCGCCTGGGATCTGAGTTGGTTCCCAGGAATCTACACTAAGCCTGGGAGGGAAATGACTCTGACCTCCACATTCGCATTGGGTCACATGCCCTCCCACTCCAAGTACCCCTCACACAAACGCTAATAAATACTTAAAAACTAACAACACAAAAGAAAGCAAACATCACTGGATAGTTTTATGCAAACATCTTAAAAGTATATTACTTAAAATTTCAGGGCTAAAGAGTAGTTCAACAATAGATCTCTAATCTAACATATATAAGGTCCTACTTTAACCTCCAAAATGCCACAAAAAAAAAAACCCAAAACCCAAAAACACACAGGCAAGAATTTTTAACTATTAAACACTGGCGACTTTTGCTGTAAATTATTTAATAATAATTATTTTATTAAAAGTATCTAACATTTTGGTAATTTCTATAATATTTTCATAATTAGGTTAAAGTTACATGGCATAGCCACAGTTGTTTAAAAATGTATGTAAATAAACAAATGTCTGTAATAACATTCCTAAGTGCTGCTGCTTGCTCAAGAACTATGTACTTCTTCAAGGCCTCCTCTATGGTGGGCGGGTCCTCCAGCCATTCTTCTGTGAGTGGGTTTAGATGAGCATCAATATGTGGGAAACGGAGAGGGCTTTTCAGAGCTGAGCAAAGAAAACTTCACATTTTCTTTTAAAATTTTCTAAAACTAGCTTCATTTTCATTTGGTATGTTAAAGAAATAAACCTTACATGCTTAAATATTCATAAATAGCTCAAATTTGTTCTGTATTTGCTTGAAGGCTGAATGGGTTAGAGATGTAAACACCCATTACTTATATGTGAAGAATTTCTACAAAGCTATAAAATATCTGCTTCAATTCATTCTAGTTTATGCTTTCAGTGATATCGCACACATACACACACACGCCTACTATGGTTTTTGAAGGTTAGTCATAACTAAAGGTACACTGTGGACATATCCCACATAGAGATATTCAGCTTGCTTCCTGCAGGGCACTCAGTATCTTGTATTGAAATTGAGAGCTCTTCTAGAGGAGCCCATGGTAGTACTCCTTACTTTGAAAGAAACAAAAAAAGAAAAAAGAAAACACACATTCAAACTTGGTTTCTTCTCATTAGTCATCATGTATCTCTTGTAAGAATTCATTAGCGTGTATTCTGCTATACTGCCCCAGGTTCTCTAATCAAAGAGCAAAACTCATCCCTTTAATCTCCTCCTTCCATCTCCACAAAACAAATTAGTAAGCTCAAAGACAGTGCCATCAATTAAATGTTAAATAGTTCCAGGCCTGAATGGCTGAATGGAACAAAGTTGACCAATGACCCAATTAATTTGGGGCCCGTGCTTTTCCATTGCCAAGTTTTCTGGATGAAGGCAGGCTCACAACTTCCATGCCACCCTCTTCACGACACAACATCCTATCATTGAATAATAGAAGACAAACACTGACCTAGTTTAGACGTGCAGATGAAAAGAAAATGAAAACAGGATACACGGCAGTGGCGAGGGAACCATGGTAACTAGAGAGGGCTGTTTGCTTACTTTATTTTGGTCAGAATAATGAGCAAGCTGAGCCTTTAGCTCTGAGATCTCAGCCTCGAGAAGACGGACCACTTCTTCATAGTCCATTTCCATCCCATGCGCCTGCCTCTGTGCAGCTTCAGCAAGGTGGATCCGGCTTCGCAGAGCTCGGGTTTCTTCAGCTACAGCTTTGGCTTCCTAAGGAGTTAAAAGTTAATGTCAAGTGAGGAAAATACAAAATACACTTCTGTGGTCTATACAAAGTATGTTTCTCATGTGGGCAGTCATGAATCCAACACTTAATATGTCTATGTTCTTTATCTTCCACCTAAAAACTAGTAAGACATTATTTCATTATGTAACCTAGCTGCCCTGTCTTTTGTTGGTTTCTTGAAATTTTTTCTTGTATATCTTTTTTTGCTAGATAAAGATTCTGAGTGGTGCCAGCCTATAATCCCATGGCCAGAGAGTCTGGGAACCAGAACCTTCATTCAGCGGCTGACGGAAGCAGAGTCAGACTCCCATGGCTAAGCACTGAGTTGAACTCAAGAAATCCAGTGACAGAGAGGGAGGACTGATGACCAAAGGGATTGAGACTGGACTGGTTTAACCTCCAGAAACAGCTTACCTGACAAGGGTTAGCTCTTGAATCCCAGACTGATGCCTAGGAATCCAGCATGGGACTGATAAAGACCCCTTGAATGTGGGTGTCAGTGAGGAGGCCTAGGTAATCTATTGAGCCTTGGGTAGTAGATCAGTATTTATCCCGGGTATACAAATGGACTTTGGACTCCCATCCAACAATGAGAGATGCACTCTCACCCTGAACTCTTGGGGGAGGGTCTAGGCCCTGCCCTGGATAAAATGACAGACTATGGACACCTCCATGTAAGGCCTCACCCTCCCTGGGGAAATGAGGGGATATTGGTGGAGGGGTTGGGTGGGAGGGCACAGGAGGAAGGGAGGGAAACAGAGAGGGACCTGGAATTGACATGTGAAGCAACCCTGTTTCTAATTTAAAAATTATATATATATATACATATATATGTGTGTATATATATGTATATATATGATTCTGCATGACTCTTTAGCGTCACACACCTAGCATCACTTTTGGAAAAATGAAGGAAGGAAAAGAAAACTGGAAATCCAAAACAGATGAATAGGAAAGTATTCTAAAGACAAAAGTAGTAAGCTACAGAAAAAAAGGGGTTGGTGTTCTTAGAAGTCTCCTGCAGCTTCATCAGATGCTGGGGAGGGGCTTATAGTGCTGTCGGCTTTGAGATGGACCAAGCCCCAAAGGCAAAGCTTTTTGTGAACATCAGACTGTTACTTCTTGTTTTGGTGGTAGCATAATATAGAATTGTTTATTGGTTGGATATAATGTTCAAGAGGCAATTACTAAAGACACAGTGTGTGCTTCATCTGTCTTTTCTCATTCAATTTTTGGATCTGAGAAATGGATTGAAAACCATTTATACATAAGCAACCAACGGCACAGAGAATAAACAAGATGAACAAGGGCATAGAATACATAAAGTTTTGAGCCCAGGTCTGCTTGAAGTCAATACTAATGATTGCTTTTCTTTACTTCGTAGTCTTTGGATGACAGAAAAAAACAAAACAAACAACAACGCTCCAAACACTAGCTATACTCTACCTTGGAAGGTAAGGGTGGCAAAAGCCATCTGCTCTCTCAAAATGTGCCTTGGTGTCAGGGCTACAGTCCCTTAGGACACCCATATAATTTAACGCAGCAAGCTATTATAGCAAAGAACTCTTCTTTAGAGGGTGCGGGAATCTCTCTTCTCTGTAATGGAACTTTCTGCTCCAATTGCCATGGCTAATATTAAACTATAGCTATTTTGATGTTCTTGAAGCTGTTATGGAGCATTTGCTTTCATTGGAGCATGAAGTACTAGAAGTATGTGTGGGGATATTCTCAAGGGTCTGTTTTCATTCAGCATCTAATAACTTTATTATATGTCAATTTCTGGAGTGAGATGGACAGAATACATGGAAAACTCTCACCCTTCAAAACCTACATTCTACTTTGGAGAGACAGATAGTAGCTTAGGCATGAGTTACGATCTCAGTGAGAAGGCATTGACTAGAGACTTAAAGAAGGGACTGTGCCATGATCCCCTAAAGAGAAGCTTTCTGGGCAAAAGGAGCACATGGGCAAAGGGCCTGGGACTGGATTGGGCCTTGTATCTTTGGAGAACAACAAGGCAGTCATTGAGGCAGAAACAGTGAGCAATCCGGAAACGATAGGGAAATAGGAGGATACCAGGGCAGAGAGGAAACACTAGTGGGTGTGTAGGCCCGATGGCCTGGAGAGGCAGGCCTTAGGAGCGTTCACAAGCTTCCCTCAGAGTGAGGTAGGAAGTAAATGGAGGGCCTTGAGCAGAGAAGTGATATGAACTGGTGATGTAGGATGTCCTTCTGTATGCTGTGAATATGTGTTGCTTTGATGGGTTGATAAATGAAGCTGATTTGGCCAATGGTGAGGCAGAATCGAGTCAGGTGGGAAATCCAAACAAAGATAAAGAGTGAAAAAAGGCAGAGTCAGGGAGACACCATGAAGCCACGAAAGGGGTGAGATACCAGAACATTACCAGTAAGCCACGAGCTTATAAACTGATAGAAATGGGTTAATTTAATTGTGAGAGTTAGTCAGTGATATGCCTGAGCCATTGGCCAGACAATTATATTAGTATTAAGCCTTAGAGTGATTATTTGGGGACTGGTGGGCAGGATGAGAAACAGCCCTTCACAAACTGGCTTAAGTTTTAAGGGGGTGCATTTCATTACTCAGGGAAGAACAGACTGTGTGGAGGACACAGGTGGAAGCAGAGAGAGGAGGAAGGGAGCAGGTAAAGCTAACTGCTGCTGGCCAGGCTGGTTGTAGAAGAGGTGGTAGATGAGGTCGTTAGAGTTCCAGTATAGTTTGGGAGTGGAACAACAGGCTAGGTCATCAACAACATGAAGTTAGCATCTACTTCACACACAAAACTGTGGAATAGGATGTAAATACAATACAAAGGGGCAAATAATACCTACACCTTTTCTGGCTCAACCTAGAACACAAGGTGTGATGTACATAAATGGAGTAAGGAGTCGTATGTAAGATAAAATGAAACAAAACAAAACAGAAAAAAAAAGAAACCGACGTGAACAAACGAGAAAGAAGGAATTCGGCGCATGAGAAATGATGCCAGGTGGGGTTTGATTGAGGTGGAGGAATCCTATTGGAAGACGGTTTTTGTTGGTCTGTTTTTAAGGGAGATATATAAACAAATGAATAAATCAAATAATTTTAAAAGGCAAAGCTGGCAGCTGGGTGCAAAAATGGAATGGCATGAGATATCACCTGCTTTCTCTACCTGCACTCAAAGAATTTGAGTCCCTTGCATCTGAAAGCACTTGTCTTATACTGTAGGGTGCCTTTAGAAGTGAGAGTATGGAAGAGAAAGAGGGATTTCCTAAAGCACAGCACCTGCCAGTCCAGCCCAGGTGACCAGAAAGTTACTAGTGACATGCCGGGGTCAGCTTCACACCAGATTGCTGCTGAGTACACAGGAGGTAACAGCTTAACATGACAGCTTGTTCTAAAGGTTGTATGCACAAAGTCAGCTAACTGCATATTGCTGTATAAGGAATGACTAGTAGAGTTATCCTCATTTCAAAGACAGGACACCAAAGCACAGAATGATCAGTGCCAGCCAGGGCTGGGATTTGAACTCATGTAGTTTAGTTAACAGAGTTTAGGCTGTTGGTTACCAGACTATACTATCTGGTTAACTACAGGAAATGTCATTTTAAAAAATCAGTTTTAGGTACCAGTTACCACCAGCACCAGCCTGCACTAGCTTAGGATGCTGTTATAACAACAGACTCTAAAACACATTGAGAACCCCCATTTTCTATTCCATCAAAAAAAAAAAAAAGCCTCTGAAGTGAGAGGAAGGGCAGGAAAATCACCCAGCTGCGGTGAAGAATCACTAATTTGATGATCTGTCCTCTTCACACTCAGTCGTGCAGCTTTTATTCCTCTACAAAAACAGCACTTTTATTTTTGTTCAAAGAACGCTGGTTAATTAAATGAAGAATCTGGACGGGATTTATGCAGCTATCGCAACGCAATGACGGTAATACGGTGTGAAATACGGCTGGGTGGTAAGAGATGCAGAGGTTTTGATGCTGAATAAATTCGTACCATTTCTTTTGTAAATGTCTAACTGTCAGGCTGGTGAATGTGACCCCTTAGCAAGGTTCTAGCCCAATTCCTGCTGAATGGCTGCTTAAAAGATTAGTGCACTGAAATGATGCCTTTTAGAGAAAGCAGTAAAGAAACGATAACAGCAGTGGGCCGGATTTAGCAAAAGAGGATCACGACAATCCATTTTCTCTTTTCCTCCCAGGCTGTCTTCTAATAAATAACTGCAAAGCCTCCTATGTCAGTAACATTTGAGAGAGAATTTTCAGAGACTCACCACCAACCTGAAATCCCAATTAGGACAAATACAGAAGTCATTTGCTGATACACTTTGTATCAGGTAGAGGGTAATTCAGATCACAAAGGTAGATCTTAAAAGAAAAACAAAGACATAATAGCAGATCAGGAAAGGCAACCAAAGCATGCTTTTAAATATTAAGTAGTGGCCCGGCCGTGATGGCACACGCCTTTAATCCCAGCACTTGGGAGACAGAGGCAGGCGGGCGGATCTCTGTGAGTTCGAAGATAGCCTGGTCTACAGAACGAGTTCCAGGACAGGCTCCAAAACTACAGAGAAACTCTGTCTTGAAAAAATAATAAATAAGTAAATAAATAAATATTAAGTAGTATGAGCAAACTCAGTAGAAGAAAATCCTGAAATGTGAAATACAATGAGAACTTTTCTAAGGGCAACAATGAGTCCACAGTGCCTCTTTGTTCAGTAAAGGTTTGCCTCCCTACAATTTTGCAGTGAATCTTTAGGAAAGATAAAACCAAATTCTTCTTCGAAAACATAATCCAAGTTGATGGTAATCTTTGTAGGTCATAGATACTTTGGTCTTAGTTAAAGGCCACTGTGCTGTATGTTTTCATACATGCAGTATTTCACCCACAAAGTAACATGATCTACAATGAAAACAAGCAAAAACACTTGCTTACTACAAAAGTGTATGCTTTGGATGGGTTCTAGCTAGGTCAG